CTCCCTTGAGTGCCTTTGCCATGCTGCTTGTTCACAGAAAGGAGTCATGAAATTTGGAGAACCCAAGAATACATGCCATTGCCTATATGCTGCTTGGTCATTGGCTTCATCTTGCTTTATGATTGGCTATATCTTTTGTCGACTGCATCCTGCTATGTCATTGGCTTCATCCTTCATCATTGGCTACATCCTAACCTGTCAGTGGCTGCATCCAGCTTCCTCATGGACTGTATCTTGATTTGTCACTGCCTGTGTCCTTGTCCTTTCTCATTGCCTGCATCCTACTGCCTCATTGATTTTTATCTTGCTTTGCTATTGGCTATATCCTGAACATCCAAGAAATCCTAAAGGACTACTTTCAAAACCCATACAGAGATTTTGGCCAGAGAGGAAAAATTCAGGCAGCCTGCTTAAGAAAGCCCATTTGAGCACAGGTTGGGGACACCAGAGACAGAGTGGGTGTGGCTTTTCACTCATCTCTAGTGCTAACTGGATTACTAGGAGTGAAAATCCACATTCTGCTGTCACTGATCGTAGACAGTCCAAAACACCCGGAAAGTATGTATACACCAAAAAAACATTTTCACGCCATTTCACAGAACAGTGTTTGGAAAGCAGCTCTACTCCAACAGTCCAAAAGAACACCATCTTTGATACGGCAATAGAGCCTGCCAGAGCAGCTAGTAGATAACTTGGGCCAGAGAAGCTGCAACTGTGGTATCATTTTTCAACAGGACAAAAGAATCTGATCAGTGATAGTAAGCTCCACCTAGAGGAAGGTTGCCCCGCCCAGGAGGAGTTAGCTCTTCCCAGGAAGGGACAACTTTGCCTGGGTTAGCAGAGAGCGTCGGCCCCGCCCCTTGGCAGTGAACAAAGACATTCCAGTCATATAGCAGATACCCTCAGAACTTAGCCCCTGTAGGAATTAAAAATACAACGGGCTGTAAAATCTCACTGGATAGACTGCAAAACTGAGAGTGGCTCCAAGCTGGGCCAAAAAAGGGTCTCAAGAGCTGGACAAACTGGGAAAAGCCACTGACCCATACATGTCAGAACCCCACCCACACCCAAGTTCACTTTCAGAGACTCCAACCTGCAGACACCAGGCACTTCCTTCTTGCATTCTACACAAAGCTGATCCCCTCTCCTTTTGAGTTAGTCTGAGAGGAGGGACTCATGACTCCCAGGGTTGCAAGGCAGAACATTGTTCTGTCTGCTCAAACTGATTTGATAAAACAACTAAGCCATAAGGAAAACCAATCAGTGCAAGGAAATCAAAGGCTCCATCAAGAGACCGGGTAGCAGACATAGAGGAGACACAAATAAATTGAAGAATTGTTTTCTAAATGTCATTTTTATTTTTTCTATTTTTATTGTATTTATATATTTTGCCCCATTTTTTCTTCTTCATTGCTGTTTATTCCTACACAGCCTATGGGGATTACTAGGCTTCCTCCTTAATTGTGTGTATACGTAATTCAGGCTATATTTTGAGCAAATATGTATTGCTCAAATTTATGATTTTCAATTTTAGAATTAATACTTTATACATATATACATTTTTTTAAGATAAGGGTAGGTTTATTCAGTAGACCTGCTGGGACCTGGCTGTTTGGCATTCCTCATGCATGAGAATGGCCTGGGAAAGACCTGAAAGAGAGAGCTGGGAAAAGAAGTGGGAAACAGCTGGGAAAGAGACTGGAAAGAGAGAGAGCTGGGAAAGAGAGCAGGGAAAGAGAGAAAGCTGGGAAAAAGAGCTCAGAGAGCTGGGAAAGGGTTGAGAAGGAAAACATATATACATTTTAAAATATCTTTATTTCTTCCTTTGTTTTTTCTTATTTTTTTTCTTTCTCTGAATTTAAATCTTAGCTTTCTTCTATCTCTTCCTTTCCTTCACTACAGCCCTCTACTCTTATTTTCTCCTCCTATATTTTTCATTATGTCTCTCAATCTTCTAATTCACCTCAACTCATTTTCCTTTATTTCTGGTCCTTCACTACTTATTCCTTTGCTTTAGTCCACTGATCCCTATTTGATTGTTGTTGATCTAGACTCTATCTGTATCCATTTTGACAGTGTCAAAGTGAACTATTGTGTCATCTTTTTGGTTCAGATTGCTTTAAAGCTCATGACAGATTTGTTCATTGATATCAACTATATATCTATATCTATATCTACATATATATTTCTCATTCTGGAAGAACAATATCCCTCCCATAACAGAGAAAAGGAGAAGTCAATAGGAGAATACCTGTCTCCTATTTGGAACCTTTAAAATCTGTGCAAATACAGGGATTGGGGTTGGTTTTTGTCTTAAAAGTGTGTTCTGTGCTGGTACTGGGATTGCTTTCATATCCTAAAAGGAAAGATAGATTTAAAATACCTGCCTATGATTGTTAACCCTTAAAGTCTGTGCAGGTATAGGTTCCGGGTTTGTTGTTGTCTTAAAAATGTTTCCTGGTGTGGTCCTGGATTAGCTCTTATTTCTAAATGGACAGAAGTAGCCATAGAAACACAAGAAAAAATGACAAGTCAAGGAACCTGAAGTCCTACTCAAAATAAATAGGCAACAGAGCAATCAATGAAAAACATAGAGGACAGTTCTAAAGCTCTACAAACACTACTTGTAAACATGCTGAATGAAAAGACTGAAAGCCTGCATGAGGCTATACTTGAGCATGATGAGGCTAACCAAAGATTAATAGAGGAATTCATGAAATCCACAAACGAAAAGCTGTATTAATTCCAACCAAAGGGCCTGGAAGGTTGCTCAGTGGTAGGATACTTGTTTAGCATGCATGAGGCCCTGATTTCGATTCCTCAGCACTGCATAAGCAAAAAGAAAAAAACCGGAAGTGGTGCTGTGGCTCAAGTGGTAGAGTGCTGGCCTTGAGCTGAAGAGCTGAGGGACAGTTACCAGCTCAGAATTCAGGCCCCATGACCAGCATAAACAAACCAACCAACAAAAAAAAAAACAAAAAAACAAAACAATTCTAACCAAAGGAAAGGAAGTCCAATGAAAGTATAGCCACTCAGCTAAAGGATTTGAGGAGAACACTGAAAACCATATCAAGGAGGTAACAAAGTCTGTACAAGATCTAAAACAAAGTTTCATCAAAGAAATTGAAGCCATCAAAACTTCTGATTAGAAGGAAGGTAAATAAAATAAAAACAAAGCAGAAAGTCTTGAAAGTAGACTAGATGATGCAGAAGCAGAAACTCAGAACTTGAAGTTAGTATAGACTTCAGAGAGCAGGAACCACCAAACATTCACATCAAATCCAGGGAACAAGATAAATCCTACAAAGGATACAAGACACAATCTGAAGGGCTAATTCAAGGATAATTGGTATTGAGGTGGACCTGGAAAAGGAAGCTAAAAGAATAGGAAATATATCAGAATCATATCAAAATCATAGCAGATAAATTCCTGAACATCCAAATGATAGGTCCACTCAGATACAAGAAGCCTTTGGATCCCCAAACAGACAAAACCAGAATGGGACATCCCACCACCACACTGTGATCTACACAGGATTTATAAAGACCAAGCTTAAGCTGGGGCTTGAACTCAGGGCCTGGGTACTGTCCCTGAGCTTCTTTTGCTCAAGGCTAGTGCTCTACCACTTGAGCCACAGTGCCACTTTTGGCTTTTTCTGTGTATGTAGTACTGAGGAATCAAACCCAGGGCTTCATGCATGCTAGGCAAGCACTCTACTACTAAGTCCCTTTCCCCGCCAGTATAGAGCCTTGTAAACAGGAAATAGCAATGGAAATACACTTCAAATTAGGCCCAATGTCCAGTGGTGGGATTCTAGGCTCACAGTGTATCAGCCAATAAGCAAGCATGTCACATACCAAGTTGGAGTCCTGGTCTCTGAGCAAAAAAAAATGAAAAAGAACTAACCAATGTGCAACAGCCTCTAAAGTAGAGAAGTAGGCCCTGTCTCTTAGGACACTCTCCAGAAAGTTCCATGGTTACAGCTGTATAGCCAGAGCCATAGTCTGTTCACAGTGCTATCCAATTTGTTGCCTGAATCCTGAACACTGATGTTCTCCATTGTGTCCCAGTGCCATGCTGCTTGTCACAGTGTAGAATCATGGAGGCTGTAGGATCTAAATACAAGTGTCATGGCCTCTATTTTGCTTTGTCCTTGGCTGAACCCTTTCTCATTGGCTGCATCCTGCTTTGTAATTGGTTGTATCCTGCTCCCTCATTGGCTGTCTACTGACTTGTCATTGACTTGATCCTGCTTCTTCAATGGCTGACAAGTATTCATAGGATGATTAAATAAAATTTCTTTCAACAAACAGCACTGTTAGTAGAAATAGAATGTAAGGGTGAAATGAAATATCTAACCACTGTCTTCACAAAAATAGAAACAATTTGTTAATTTTAATAATGTACAGAAAATACTTTTTTTTTGTTGGTCATGGGGCTTGAACTCTGAGCCTGGGCAGTGTCTCTCAGCTCTTCAGCTTAAGGCGAGTACTGTACCACTTGAGCCATAGCACAACTTCGGGGTTTTTTTGCTTATGTCGTGCTCAGGGCCTCATACATGCAAGGCAAGCACTCTACCACTGAGCCACCTTCCCAGACCAGAAAATATAATCTTTATCCCAACCATTATATTTTAAGCTTTGATGGAAACACACTTAAACACACACTTACACATACACACAGAAAGGCACATTCAGTAAGACTTCAAAACGTCAATGTTTTAAAATTGCAGCGTATCTGAATTTGAGTACCTTGTCTAATGCTCAATCCACAGAGCTTCACTCTAGGTCCTTTGGTCCTCAATTAGATATTCTAGTCTCATGGACATTCCTGCCTGGGCTAGCTTTGAACCTCTATCCTCAGATGTTAGCATCCTGAATAGTAGAATGACAGGCCTGAGACACTGCTCCTGGCCTCTGTGGTGTTTCTATCATCCTACAAACAGCAAGGATGAGGTGAGAAGAGTTGGATCACCATCATCGTCTGGTTTCACTTTCTCTTACAATGGATCATTCTTGGTATAGCCTGAGTGAGTGATCCATCGTGAAACCATTCTGTTATTCTTCATGAGCAAGAATGGGCAGAGAGTGGGGTAGCTGAAGGACAACATCACAAGCACACCCTTGGATTTGTTCAATTTCTCCAGCGTGTCCAAGGAATATACAATAATGATGTTGTTGGAGCAATAGAAGAACACGAAGCAGCTGACCAGCAGCAGGATGGTGTGGGTGGCTGTGTTCTCAGGCACAGGCTTGGAGGCAAGGCTGGGACTGTGGAGGTGCCGGGCTCTGCAGCGGTGAGGGTAGAGGAGCATCAACATATAGAGGCTGGGGGCCACCATGAGGACCAGGAACAGAGCATCTCGCAGCACAATGGAGCTGATAATGGGTGTTGGCTTGCCTCTTCCAAACTTCGTTTGACAGTAGGGATGAGAAAATCCCAGGCTTATGATGGTGTAATTGCAATTGGATCCAACAGTTTTGATTATGTTGAAATACATGATGGGATTCAAGATCCAGAAGGATAGCAACGAGGAGAGGATGCAGGCAGAGGATCGCCTTTTCAGCGAAGCCCATTGGGCAGGGGTGGGGTTGATGGTTAGGGCCTGGAAGGCACTCAAGAAGGTGGTAGTGCAGGTGGACAGTCCCCACCTGACCCTGAACAGGAACAGCACTGCCTTACACGTTGCATCATCCCAGAAACACAGGACTCCATATGAGGAGATGATGAAGGGCATGGACTCAAAAATGATGGTCAAGGTGTTGACCAGGGTCAGGTGCATTAAAACTATGGCAATTAGCTTCCGGAGCTGGGGCTTGCACACGGAGCTGTAGGCATACAGCAGGAAGAGGACACAGTTCCCCAGGACGCCCAGACACACCTTAGACACAAGGAGGAGGCTGAACACGGTGTTGCCTGCGGTGGCTGTCATTGTGTGTTTGTGTGTGTGTGAGAAAAAGAGAGTGTGCATGTGTGTGTTGCTGAGAATCAAAGCAAGAGTGCTGCCCAGCCAGGAAGGTGAGAAAGCTCTAGACAACACTGTGAGCCCTGCAGGCGGGAATCTTCATGGTGCTCCATGCTAAGCTAGGCTTAGCATGAATGCCAAAAGATAGAGTGTTAAGCAAGGATTCAAAAATAGTTTCTTTTTCGGGGGTGGGTAATAATGCATATGAAATTGGATCTCAGGGCCCAGGTACTGACCCTGAGCTCTTTTACTCAAAGCTGGTGCTATCCCAGTTGAACCACAGCTCCATTTCTGGCTTATTGGTAGATCACTGGAGATCAGAGTCTCAAGGATTTCCCTTTCTGGTCTGACTTTGAACCTGGATCCTCAGATCTTTGCCTCCTCAGCAGTTGGGATTACAGGCATGAGCCACCAGGGCCTGGCCCATACAATTGTTTTAAGTGGAGTCTGGGAAAAATGTTCCATTTGCCAGTTCTGGAGGGTTGGAAGTGTTCTGACCTCGGTATTTCAGACATGAATGTGCTGTGACCTTTGAATCTGGGATGTAGGGCCTGGAAGGACCTGTAGAGACACGTGTTAGAATCAGGAGGGAATTCAAGGACACCACACTGGGCTGGGATGTTAGGAAGGAAGATCACTGGCTGTCTCTTCCTGTGGTCCCTGGGGCTCCATCATGGTCGGCAGTGGATGGTACAAGGAACAACAGATTTTGGCTGTCTAATCAGCCACTGAATGCTTTCTGACAACAGGTAATTGTCATCAATGAGAGGGAGGTGCTACATTGGAAAGAATTTTATTATACTTCATGAGGAAACAAGGGGACACGATTGGGCAGCATGATAAAATACAAATGATCATGTCCAACGTTGCCATTTTCTCTACTGTGTGAAAGGAAAAACATTCATGATGTTGTTGGAGCAACAGAAACACAAGAAGCAGCTGACGAGCAGCAGGGTGATGTGGGTGGCTTTGGCTAGGCTAGGTAGTGATGGCTAGGTGATGGCTAGGTAGCGATGCTGGGACTGTAAAGGTACATGGCTCTCTTGGGGTGTCAGGAGAGGGGTGTCAACATGTGGAGGTGGGTGGTGAGCATGAAGATTACAAACATAAGGTCTTAGAATAAGAAGATGCCATGATCTATTTTCTTCTCTCTGTCGAGTATGACAATATGCATTGGAAAACCCAGAACCAGCAACAGTGAAAATGACTTTTGGCTTTCAGAGCCTTAATGACCGGGACCTACATGAGCATATTGGCAACCCAGAAGAAGAGAAAAGAAGGGGAAATCCACACTGAAGATTTAGATTTAAGCCACATGCATTGGGCAGGGCCGGAGCTGATGGTGATGGCATGAAATGCACTGAGGAGCGAGGTGGTACAGATGGAAAGCACCTGGGTGACTCTGAAGAGGTACACCACCACCTTGCAGCCCACATCAACCAGAAAGTGCTAGACTCTGAAGGACACCATGATAAATGGCACCATTGTGAACATGGTATTAAACAAGTTGATCATAGTCAGATGCATCAAGATGGCATTGCTGGGCTTCTTTAGATGAAGTTGGAATAAAAACATGTATAGAGCATGGAGGGCAGGGAATTCCCCATGACACTGATGTACACCTGGGCTGAGGAAAAGCCTCATATTGATTCACCCAAGAACATCATTGACAGTTTTTGTGATGTTTTAATATATAGAACAGCCAGAGAGTTGATACAGGAGAGCAAAATCAGTGCACTGGTTATGGATCCATTCCAAATTGAGCTTCAGGGAGAATATGCAGAAGATGAAATTCTCTTTCAGGCCCAGGGGTGGCCCTACTGGAACAGGATCCCAAGACTTCCTCAGGATCTTAGGGGACAGTAATGGGTATGATTATGGCAACGTGTTGTTCATGATATACTTCCTAGTTCCTTAGCAAGCAGGAACTGTAGGCTTGTTTGACTAATTTGCATTTTAAAAGGAGTTTTCTTTGTTCTTCAGATTGGTGTGTGTGCCCGTGTGTGTGCCTGTGTGTCTCTGTGTGTGTGTGTGTGTGTGTGTGTGTGTGTGTCTGTGTGTCTGTGTGTCTGTGTGTCTGTGTGTCTGTGTGAAATCCTGGGGCTTGATCTCAGCGCCTAAGTTTTATCCCTGAACTTTTTTCTGTGTTGTTCAGTTCTAATAGCTACATTTCCACTTTATGCTGGGTCTTTTGAGATAAGTCTCATAGACTCTTCTGAATGGACTGGCCTTGAATCCTGACCTTCAACTTTTTTTTTTGTCAGTCATGTGGCTTGAAGTCTGGGACTGGGCGCTGTCGATCAGCTCCTCAGCTCAAGGCGAACGATCTACCACTTGAGCCACAGCAGCACTTCTGGATTGCGTGGTGGTTAATTGGAAATAAGAGTCTCATGGACTTTCCTGCCTGGGCTGAGATCCTCAGATCTCAGCCTCCTGAGTAGCTAGGTTGACAGGCATGAGCCTCTAGTGCCCAGGTAGAGCCTCTCATTTTTAAAACACATCTTATCTCAAATACAGGGTAAAGCAAAGGAACAAGTCCCGAGTTCAAGCTCCAGCACTAGAAACAAAATTTATAGCACCCTAGGAATGTTTCGAAGTGCAATAGTTAGTATGGTGAAATTCCACAGTGAGGGAAATTACTGGGTAAGGAATCAAAATCTGCTTCAAAGGAGGAGTGTGCCAAACACACAGAGGTGGAAATGCCTTCCTGCTTTTCTGAAAAACTCCAGAGAACCTTGCATTAACTCTGCTTTTATTTTAGCCTTGCCTTGATAGAAAATGCAATCAGAGGGCTGGGAAGGTGGCTCAGTGGTAGAGCGCTTGCCTTGCATGCCTGAGACCCTGGTTTCAATTCCTCAGCACCACATAAGCAAAAAGATAAAAGCCAGTAGTTTTGCTGTAGCTCAAGTGGTAGAGTGCTAGCCTTGAGCTGAAGAGCTGAGGGACATTGCCTAGGCCTAGTGTTCAGGCCCCACAACCTGAATCCCCCCCCCAAAAAAAAAGAAAAAAGAAAATGCAATCAGATTAACACAGCCAAAATGATGGGAGACAAATGTATTTCTAGAGGTAAAAGACAAAAACAAAATCGACTCTAATTCAATGTACAAATGAATCTCCCACTATGATAAAACACTAAGGCAACAGAACAGGAGATTAAGATTCAAACTAGGGATGGTCCCAGCATGCTCTTGCGGGCCAAGGAGAGCCAGCCGGTGACTCACCTCGCCACCCCAACTCTTGGCGATGCCTGGGCTCTCTTATCCACATGATCGCCACCTGGCTGGCGGGGCATACTGAGAAGGCCAGGACGAGGAGGTCAAGGGTAACTGGGATGATGATGATGATGATGATGATGATGACGATGATGATGATGATGAAGAAGAGGAAACAATAGAAGCAGCAGAAGTAAAATCAGAAATAAAAATTTCAAAGAGAAAGAAATGTAGCGGAGAAAATAAAAGAAAAAAGAACGACAACAGAAGAAAAGGCAAGAAGAAATTAAAAAGAGATGAGAAGAACCTGAAGAACCTCAAGTGATAACACCAGAAGAACCATTATCAGATAAACTGTGGCTACAGAAACTACTGGAAGAAGCAGACCTTGTACTAGCAAAAGAAACGTTTTGTGTGAATGATACAGTTTGTGGGATAGATGCTATGAACCCATCCTCAAGAGTTGATCTCACAGAATTTGGGAAGTTACTGAAAGATAAAATTACACAGGATGAAAAGTCATTCTATTATGCCAGGTTTTTTTAAAACCTTAGTTCAAGAGGTGTGAATTTTGTTGGAAATTGATGACTTGGAAAAGATGCCCAGTTCATTGACTGTGCTTTCCAGTGAGAACACATAAGCAAGAAAAGCAAAGCAAAGCCAAAAAGAAGAAAAAGGCATGGTTTGTGGAGGGGGGGTTAAAGTCCACCTTGGAAGATGATTTGGCAGATGATGGTGGTTGTGATGGAGGATATGTACAAGACTATGAAGACTCCATGTGACAGTTTCTCTCTCCCAGTGTCTTCTTTCTGTTGCCCACAATCCCTTCAATATGCAGCTCAACTTCTTTTCCTTTCACTTCTGCCAAATGTGACAATCAGAAATCTTTGGTGCTGGTTATTTAACCCCTTGACACTTAGGTGCTAATATGCCAAGGAGGGAACTTGGATCTTGCTGCCCAGGGTTTAAATTGGGAACTTAACTTGCTACTAAATCATAGTTTAAAAACAAAACTAACCTAATAATGTTGTTATTGTTGCTGTCTAATCCCATAGCAGCAGTCACTAAATAGAAAACAAAGGTTGCAACGTGCCAAAAATTGTGTGTTATTAACCAGCACAGTTCAGTAATACAGCCTTAACCATACCTCCTTGAAGAAATTCATACTGGTCAAGAAAAGCAGTTTGCAGCCAAGGCATGTGGTGTGCATCTAGTATTAAAATTGCGTTGTCTAAGAATTGAGCAAGAGGATATTAAGTACATTGTGAAGAAGATTATCTCAGAGTGAAGATATTGTGGCTGTAAACCACTGGTGTGATACTTAAAATTTTAATGACCAAAACCACCTCTGAAGCTAAAGAAGGTAAACCTCTCCGTTATCACAGGACAAGTTATGGAATCTCAGGGTACAGACTGTCTAAGTTTTTATTTATCAGACTATTTCTACTGAGGGAGGGAAACTACCTGTTTTTATTTGCTTGATTCAATGATATAACTTTTTTATGGTCTGTCCTGGGTCTTGAACACTGGGCTTGGGTGCTGCCCCTGCCCTATTCAGCTCAAGGTGAGCACTCTACCACATGAGCCACAGCACCATTTCTGGTTTTCTGGTGATTAATTGGAGATAAGGGTCTCACGGACTTTTCTGCCTGGGCTGGCTTAAAACCGTGATCCTCAGATCTCAGCCTCCTCAAAAGCTAGGATTACAGGCGTGAGCCACCCGCACGCTGCTTGAAATAAGTTTTAACAGGGTTT